GTTTAATACTTAGGCAGTCATTGTTGAGAAACACTGCTGGCGGCTGCCCACCAGCCAGCCCGAATTGCTAAACGAGAGACAAGCGAGTGCAACAAAGGACAGTGACAAGCATAAAAACATGTGGTTCTTCTACTAATGGGCTACAGAAACTAGGGAGAAGTGTATAGGATTAATATTTGACAGGGGGAGAACCTTGCAAACTATGTTTCATTTTTTAACTTTCTCCCAACTGATTAAATCTTTCATTTTGGACTTTTCGCACTGCCCACACTGTCTGCTCCGTTATTGGAGAAAAACCGAGAAGTAGTTTTGGGGATTTAAATACATATTGCGCTAATTATTTAGTTGGAAAATGCTTAAATTTGAACAAACTCGTAATAGATCTTTCTGTTGCGACAGGGCTTGAGTGTGGAGCATGTTTGTAATGAGCTGAGGCACTGGTACATGCTGAGGAACCTGACGGAAGAGTATGCTGTGTCCATCACCTGTGAGCCATCTTCTTCAGCCAGCAATGAGATTCACATCAGCATTGTAAGTACAGCTTTTCAACAAGTTTAAATGGGTCTAAAATAGCATTTAAAGATGTTTTTAGTGGGCCACCTTTAGTTCCAACCTGTTCCAACACACCTGACAGGACGTTTCTAGTACTCTAGAAGATCAGCTGGTTCAGGTGTTTCTAATTAAGAGGTGGACACCACTTATTTAAAGAAAACGTTTTTTGTAATTTTCTCATGCTAATGTCATTCCATACCTGCATGACTTCCATTCTTCTGTGGAACACAAAAAATATAAGATAATGATTTTTTTTGTTCATACGTTGAAAGTAAATGTCCTCCAGAGTTGTTTTGGACCCAAATGACTTCCATTTTATGGACAAAACAGTTGAAACATTCTTCAAAATATCTCAAGAAAGGCAGAATTTGTAGAAAAGTAAATTTTTTGTGATATTTATGAGTCTACGTTTCCTGTGCAGTCCACAGAAGAGCCCAGGTTGGACAGGAATCCTATTAAAGATATTACGGGTCAAATATTCGACTTGGTGAGCCAGCACAATGGTAACAGCACCATCATCAAAGCCATCACCGGTGTACGAGCTCACCAGACACCAAGCCCCAAAACTGGTAAGCAGCTCTCCATCACACTGGACATTGGGTCCATCTTTGCTGAAAAGTTGTCAAAAATGAAAGTATTAAGGTTTCCACAATCTGGGCAGTCATGTTGAACTGTCTGTCCTTGGTCTGTCTTGCTTGAGCAATGTTTAACTGTCAAACGAAGCTTTAAGTCATTGAACACATGGAATGTTACATCAGCTCTGCCAGTTGGATTGAACTTCAATTAGACATCAGGGCCCTCTTGCATGCTGTTCATCAAAAATGGCGTCCTATGTTTCTGCCAAGCTGCTAAGTCTCTTCCTAACTTAAGAGACCTTTAAACCGTGTGAGCCAGCCTCTGTAGATTGGGCCAGGGGACCGGGTATAAACAGTGTATGTCTTGTCCAAAATAGGAAAATGTTGCTGTTGAATTAAAGTGTGGATTATTTTTTTCCTACACCACTTCTGTTTTCAAACTCCAAGGTTTTCCCATTTCCAATGCACAAATGTTCACCAGTAAATAGACATTTCAATAGTTTCCCTTGCAGTCTTCTCGTTATCCCAAATACTGACTAACTGTCCCTCTGGTTCTTCTGTCCCCAGACTACCTGGTTCCTCTGCTCAGCTCCATCTTCATCGTGCTCTGGATCCTCGCCCTGGCCTCAGCCTTCCTGTGGTGCATTCACCGCCGGCGGAAACAGAACACCCACAGCAATGCAACTACCTCAGCTACAGAGGACAATACCACCAATAACGTGCGCGAGCAGCTCAACCAAATCAAGAACCCCATCGAGAAACACATGGCCCACGGCGTGACCATAAAAGACTACGAGGGGAAGAACTCCATCATTGCCAAAATTAGGACGCATAACTCCGAGGTGGAGGAAGAGGAGATGGACAAACACCTGCAGAAAGCACGCTTCACCAAGCAGCCGGCTTACACGCTGGTGGAGCGGGAGGAGCGCGCGCCCAACAAAAACCCAAACTGGACTAACAAACAGGACAACAGAGACTTGGAGACGGCACAGAGTTTAAACAGGATGGAGTATATCGTATAGCAGGCAGCTGTGTTGCCGTGCGACCGAACCCCTGTTGCACTTACCGGTCATTTGGCAGGGTCTCGGGGGGGGGCTTCTTAAAACGGTTGCGTCGTCTTCTGGACTCCAAGGCTGTTATTTGCCTAGAATCCTGTGTTAATTTAAGTTTTGACAAGCTGGCTTCACACTGGCAATTGTAATAGTTGCTGTGGACGGCTGGAAAACCCAAAATGCTGTGTTTCGCATCCTGCGTTTTCCTTCGTAAAAGAAAAAAATTGTTAACAAAATAATAATACACATTTCAAATGTCTATATTTTTGTGGATACGTTTGAGTATCTTAGTGAGTCTGAAAAGTTTGCATAGTGTTTGCAAATAGTTTTAAGTGTTATTTTCGTTCATAATGACAATGCTCTCACAGCTAAAGTAGTTGTTTCTTCCTTATCCAGCGGCTGTGTGGAAACTGTCTCTAGTTGGTTTTATTTCTAGTTCTGAACTGAAAGTGCCTTCACAGCTAAGCACCACAGCAATTGTCAGAAATGAGTATGAAAAATGGGGGAAAAAAACAAAAAAATTATTTATTATTTTTCTTTTCTTGGGGCGGGATAGGTCGGTTAGCTTTCTGCTGCCAATATGAAGAATTGTGTCAATTTAGTGTAGATATGTATATTTTTTTTAATTAATCACTGTGTATATTTGATTTATTAACTTAATAATCAAGAGCCTTAAAATATCATTCCTTTTTATTTATATGTCCTGTCTAGTTTTGAAGGTTTTGATAGCTTTGTAAGCCTATAGCTTTGTTCGGACGACATTTGTTTGATGTTTCACATACCAAAATTTCAGAGAGAAAAAGCAGTCTTATTATTATTATTTTTTTTTTTTAAAACAAGATGGGCATTTGTGTGCCTGAGATTTTTTTCTTTTTATACAATGTCAGATATTTCAATATTTGAAACTTCTATTGTATGTATTTTGCCAACTCTGACTTGCTCAATGCAGGTAATGTCAACATCATGACTGCTTTTTGTTTGGATACCTGGTGGCAGACACATTGCTTGCCACGGATGAAAAAGAAAAAAATAAATCATTAAAAATATCTAAAATAAAAGGGAACACGAGTCTTTTAGTTGCTTGTTGGTAAACCTGATTCACACAAATCATTTATCTTCCGCTTCGGTTTGCAGTATGTCATAAGCTAGGCTGTGAATACTTGAACAGTAGGGGGCCAATGGAAACACTGTAGATGACTGCCTTGCTTTCAGGAGTCCATTTCTATTGCTGTGCACATGTAGTGTTCTTTTCGTTATTCTTTTATTTCGAGGCTCTCTAAAACACCAAACTGACAAGTTTATCACATTTGTAGATCATGGCAATATTCAATGTTCATATTTGACCTTATTGTAAATTAATTTTTTAGTTTGTTCCTGGCAATATTTTTTGAGTTATATTTATTAAACATTTTGTATAAAAGGACGATTAAATGTTTGTTTTCGATTTGTGCTGCTTTGGGAGGAGCTGAATCCTCTCTTGCGCTGACGTAATGATATGTGAGGCACAAGGTCTGTCTAAATGTCTTTTCGTGGTACAGCCGTGCGGGGTCTGATTGTACTCTGTACCATGTGAAGACTGACGCTGCGACTGAACTTCCCAACCTAAATGATGAATGAGGTATTCAGTAAAATAACTGCAGGGCAAAAGGAAAAGCTTATGGTGATGAGAAGAAAAAAGGGGTTTCCCAATGTTTTCCAGTCATGTATTATGTAAATGCTGTCATCATTTACTCACCCTCAAGGTGTTTTGTTCATATGATTTTCTTTCTTCTGTGGTACACAAAAAAGGCATTTCGATAAGGTAGCTGTTTCCCATGCATATTGAATGAGGACTGGAGGTTTCACAGTGCAAAAAAAACACGAAGACATCAAAGTGGTTCATACAACTCATGCCCTATATTCAAAGTCTTCTAAATCATGTGATAGCTTTGAGAGAAATTTAAGTGAACATTCACTCAAGATTTTCTTATAATTGGTGAAATAAGTCCAAATTGTGAACGAATCATTCTTGTGAGTCACATCTTTTCAATCACTCAGTTGATCCAGTTCGTAAAACCTGTCTGAATGATTTATGAATCAGACTTGAGAGAAACTCGCTGACTCAATTTGGTCGCAACAGAGGAACATTGGTGAAAAACAACTTAAACTTCAGTCTGTTTCTCACACAAAGGCTTTTTATAACTTCTGAACACTTTGGATATAATGCACAAGTAACTTTTATGATTATTTTATTGTGCTCTGTGTCATTTCTGAAGCTTGAAAGCATCCATCTCCATTCATTGCAATTACCTCAAAATGAATGCTCAGCATAGCCTCCAGAATTTCCTTTTGATGTTCCACAGAAGAAAGGAAGTTGAACGGGTTTGGAATGGGTTGATGACATTTTCTTTTATGGTTAAAATTGTTCTTTTTAAATTGACAAACTGAAAATTCTAATTTGTAAATGCATGTTATTATCCTGGCCTTAATCAAAATGTCATAACTCAATTTTATTCTTGGTGATATATGCTGGATTTCTCCAAGCATTTAGTCGACTTAAAACCCAACCCATCTCAAAATCTAATTAACAACCAATAAACAGACCTAAATTTTTCCCAACCTACGTTAAATTTTGTTTTTTCAGTAATCTGTTACACTTGAATGTAAGTCACAATATGGAAAAGATCTGTTGCTACTTCAGTTAACCTCGCAACTTTTAAGCTAAAGGTTGATCTCTAACGTTACAGTATCTGAGCACTAGATAATTAAAAGTCAATAAATCAGAATTCCTTTATTATTAATGGTTAAGTAATAGTAAAACATGAGTTATATTGTAAGGCAGTACAGTAGATTGCATTCAGTTTTTAACATATTCCTTGGACATTTAGTTCACAAGTATCTCAACGCAAACGTTTGATTAGGAACAAATGGTTTGCTATCTTTAACGATTCGAATTTCATGACATAACATCAGAATATACAGAGAAATATGTTGTAACCAGAAGCATTCCGACCGCCACATTATGGGATTATTGCTGCACAATGTTTGTATATTCTGATAACATTTTTATACTTAATACATAAACATTGAGTGATTTGTAAGCACGGCTGGAAAATAAAGCATGTGACTCAACGAATTTATGTCCATGCATATAATCATCCTGCCATCACGCACTAAATCAATGTCGACTGCACCCGTGATTAGCCAAATATCGGACGCGAACGCCACTACAGCGTTCCATAGCGTTGTCAGTCATCCCGCAGTAGACTTTTAGCTGTTACGAAAAGCAATAACACATTTACAAATAATAACCGCAGGGAGACGACCGTCGGCTCCAACGGTGAAAACCCCTGATCGCTTAAGGAGCGCGGTGTATGTGAGAACACAGCGAAATCAATCATGTGCTCAGCTGAAGCTGGAAGAGTGGAGATTTCAGACGGATGGAGCCAGAGAATTGGGCTTGAAGCCACAGTGTGCTCAACGGCTCCCGCTAGTCTGAAATACAAATCTTACACCGAAAACGCGAACTGCATTTGTGTTTTTGTTTAGAGTGAAGTTACTGTTTGCTTGAGTTCCTTTTAAGTTGTTGCTAGTGGAGTCGATTCAAATATTTGAGAGCTTCTTGGTAATCTAATTCAAGCGTTTGAGCAGTTTTGTGTTTTTTACTTTAAAGGGAGAAGGGAAGTACTGTATGTGCAAGACTGTGTGTGGTGAACTCTTTGTGCAACCGCCGCTGACAGACAATATTACAGTAGAAGTGTGTACTGTAACATCTATCGTGGTGGCTTCAGACATCCTCTCTCGTTCAATACCGCTGCACCCCTCAGGACTTCTTGAGCCGGCGTAATCGGGATGTTCTGGGCTCACCCCCCTTCCTTCCCTCTCTGGCGACAGATCTGGAACTAATAGAGGAGCCAGAGGATACGGGTTTGACGGATAGGCCTCTCAAACTTGAAGCCAGCCCGCTTTGGTTAGTCTGTGAAATCTCAGGCTGGGGACTGCAAACTGAGTCTGCAGCGGCAACGTCGGAAGAGGGATTGTTGGAATCGCTTGACGCTGCAGGCTCTCCAAAACGAGATATTTTTGTCTTTTGGTGGTCAGCGTCTTCCCCTGAGCTACTTGGGGTCCGTGGTCGTCTCTTCGGACCGGTAGCGTCAAGATGTGGTTCGGTGATCTCTTTACTGTTACTTAATTTAGATGACAACACGGCTTTCCCTTCCTCCAATGACTCACCCGTGAGAAAGCTGCTAGACGATATGGTGACAGGATGACATGCTTCAGAAGACCCCTTCTCAGCTTTGTCCGCTTGATCATCTTGGCGTTGTTGGGGTTGGACTTTAGCCTGCCTGGCACTGGAGGAATAAGGAAAGGTTACATGAAGATGTAGATGGATCACCGCAAGGTATATCAGAACAGTACTTACATCTTCTGAAGAATGGCTCTTTTTGTTGCTGTGGAGCTGGGTAATGGATCTATCATCTCGCCAGAGCCAGAAAAATACTTTGAATGGCTTGGTTCACTCTGTTGAGACAAAAAAAGAAAGAGATCCTTTAAATTTGAGATGGTGGAAATAAATCTTCAATATAAATCAATTTATCATTCATTAGATGTTGTCTATGTAGGTATCTCATTATGTTTTGGAACAGAGCTACTCTCTCAACACCTGACAGAAACTATGAAGTCAATTATTTGTTTTTGTTTTTTTAAAGGACTCTAAGAGAAGTCCATTGTACTGACATGAATTAACTATATTTGGTGTAGCCATGGGAACAAATCCACGGGATGTTTTGTTTTGACGGCCATACCCAAGAGACCAAGTAAAAACACAAGCTTGTGTTGAACTGCCAGTATTCAGAGGAAGCTCTCTTTTTTCCCTTTTCTCTGTCTTGGTCATCAAATTTCTGATCATGCTTATCAAAATATAAATATTTGCTTTATTGCGGCTTTGCTTTTTTTTTTTGCTTGTGCATATTGTATATTTTATGTGTTTGTGTGTTAATATAATGTTAATATAAATAATGTCAAAAGTACCAATTTGGTTGAATGTGTTAAATATTCATGTTTGTTGTGATATTAAAATTGATACTAAGAATCACATAAAAACATACCTTTTAAATGCTGATGTGTGGCAGATTTGAGACTCTCAAGCTAAGAGATCAGTAAATACACTCGCATTGAGCAAAACATTTTTTGTAGTTATTTAAATATCCATTGACTGTGTGTGTGTGTGTGTGTGTGTGTGTGTGTGTGTGTGTGTGTTCATTACGACCTGGCTTGACCACCTGAATAGTTTGACAAACACTTTGAAGTCCTTGTTTTAGTACTAGCCATGCTTAACCGGGCAGCTCTGAGAAGAATAGAGACGAAGAAGCTTATTGAGTCCCACCAACATACACCTTCAACAGTCCTAATGAAGCTCTATCAACAGAACAATCCTTGACTGAGCAAGAACAGAGCAGGTGCTTGTGTCCGCCGTCTTTCGGGGCACAGGATCATTGAACTGCGATTAACTGACACAAAACAATCATTCCAGTCCAAACTGATTGGATTTCATAAAAGTGTAGGTTTACCAACCGGCCTCTGAACAGGTTCAAGATATATAGGCTATTAGTTCTATTTTAGGAGCAAGCAGCCAGATAAGCACAAGGCCCGTCAAGTCATTAGAGCGAAATGAGGAAATTGCAGAGGGATGCGTTTCATATGAAGTGCACAGACGCTGGCCTGAAGAAGAGGCCTCTATATACCCATACTTAATGCCTTGTTTTATAGAGAAAAGTGTTGTGGCCTAGTGGATAAATATATGGGATGATAACCAAAAGTTTGTAGGTTTGAACCCTACAGTGCATGTGACTGTGATGTCAACAACAATACAACAAATATAAATGGAAACAAGGAAGACAGACTGACCCGCTATCCATTTTGTTCATCTTTGCACTGAGGCGTTGTGAGCAAGTCATGCTGAATGAGTTCATCAATGAGTGGATGAATCACACAAGGAAGGTGCACCTACTGCAAGCAAGTGATCCTGCAGCATGTGACTGTGGCACAACCTGTCAGATGACTAGTATTGCTATGCTCTTTTGTTTAATATTAAATGAAGACAAAAGTACTATAAAATCTCACAAGATAAGATCTTTGTTGCAAGCCAAGTCTTTATTTATTTGTACTCCTGTAGCTCAAACAGTATAGTATGGCATTACCAATGCCAAAGTCATGGGTTCAATTCTCAGGAAATGCATGAACAGAAAAAAGTAACCTTAAACTTAAACCTTGAGAGCTGCTTTGGATAAAAGTATCTGCCAAATGCATAAATGTACTTTTATTTGCAAACAATGCAGCGTTTCCATCCCATGTCAAGACAACAAAATAATTTCTTATGGGAAAATTGGTGCTAAATAGAAATGGAAGCCACGGTGGGTCTTTTAGTAAATGCAATAAACTATTTGTGGTTTAGAGCAAAACACTCTGATGAACTTTTGCTAGCAATCAACAGCAGATGCCTTGTGTCTGGGAGTTTGTCAAACAGCTCTGGGAAGTTAACAGCAGCAAATCATTTTGACATTTCAGAATGCCCAAGCAAAACTTGAGATGCTTTGTGCTAATTTTATTCGAATCACATTCATTTTTTATCTAAGAATTTTTTTTAGCAAGTGTATGTTTTTATGTGTATTTTATGTCCAAAATTCACACTAGTTGGCAATACGGCCAAAGTCTTTCATCACAATATAAGTCTCTTTTCACAATTACATTATTTTTGCTAGAAATAAGTTTACAATGGCAAAATTGCCAAAAACAATAATGCGTGAGTATCCAATTGAATTATTTTGCATCTCATTGCGCTTGAATGGTTTAAAATCACTTGAAACATTAAACTGATAACACAACACTGTAAACTCACAAGAACATAACCGCAACAGAAACAATAATAAAACATTTATACAGTTTGTCAAGTTTCTACCGGTTTATCATGTCTACCCATAAGTCACACAAAAAAACATTGAAGGAAACCATAGCCACAGACAGAAAGAGCCAATTCCGTCAAAGCTCTTTTCCCACAAGCTGTTTGAAACCAGCAGGTTTAGCAGGACTACACATAAATCAGTGCTGCTTCACTCTAAATGAGCTGATCAATAACTAGTGGGAAGGTTCACTTTAAGGTGCAGGGAAGGGTAATGCATGGGAAGATCTGAGAAAACAGAGTCTATGAGAACCCAAGAGACTCTCTGCGGTGTGTGTCCACCCACAGAGACAAGTATTCATAGGAAATCATGTTGCAACGTGGGCCGCTAATGTTTAAAAACAATCCATTTCCAAAGCCGGAGCGAGCAAGCTGCTGTCTCATCTGTAGATTGTGTTCCATCCATGACCACCGTCTGTCGAACTCTCTCATACACACACACACACACAAACTCCCCCCAACTTACCACGTCCCTCCGCCCACTGCAAACAAGACTGGACGGTTTTTAGGGGGATATCCAGACACACTAGTGCGCAGAAACACACCCATACTCACTGACGATATGTCCACTGAAAATAAACACACCCAGTGAGCGTGAACGGTACAGCGCACATACACACGCTCGACAAAAACATGGAGGATAGGGGAGGAAGAAGATTTGAATTTTAATACCTTCATATGCATTTTACAAACCTTCGGAAAACAGATGAAAGAGACAGCAACAATGGAGCAGTGTTTCTTTCCCAGAGAAACTCTCCCATGAAGCAATTCTCTCATGCACTTCGCTGGGCTTCAAAGAAGAACAAGGGAAAGAGAAAGATGCTAAGAAAAAAAAATTATGTCAGAAAGTTAATGGAGTGAAAGAAGGCACAATTCAATGTGTCTATGGGAACAGGGAATATCTATGAAAATATAATTAAGGATTTCAATTTACATGTGAATTTAGTGAAGTTATACTACCGCTCAAAAGTTTGGTGTCATTAACACTTTTTTTTCGTTTTGAAGATATTCATACATTTATTCAACAAAGATGCATTAAATTTTATCAAAGTGACAGTAAAGACACTGTTACAAAATAATTCAATTTCAAATAAATGCTGTTCTTTTGAATTTTCTATTCATCAAAGAATTATTTTGCAGCACCAAATCAGCATATTAGAATGATTTTAGAATTGACACTGAAGTCTGGAGTAATGGCTGATGAAAATTTAGTTCTGCCATCACTTATATATTTTAAAATAGAAAATTATTTTAAATTGTAGTAATATTTCACAATGTTATCGTTTTTACTGTATTTTCTGATATTAAAAAAAATCAGACTTTCAAATACATCTGAAAAAAATCCTGTAACCATGTAAATGAATAAAAATTAAAATTAAATTTTAAATAAAATAAACATTTCTGGCACAATAAAATTATCTTCATTTGGGAATTTACTTAAAATATATTGAGTACACGTGATTACTTATCATTCACTTAATAAATGACTTATCATGCAATTAATCTGATCAACATCTATAATCAGTAGAGCCCTAATAATACAGACTCAACATACATTATTATCTGGCACAATATCAGAGCTCTAATGACCTCTACAGTTACAAAAGGTGTGTTCATTGCATATAACCTCTAAGTTAAAAGTGAAAGAAATTAATGCAGAATCCAGTAAGGAGGAATGCAGGCCATATACCCTTGACATAAATACTTAAATAGCATCTATTTATGTCTTTACACTAAATGATTGTTGTAAATAAGCTAGAAAGTTACTTCTATCAACTACAAGTCATTTATAAAAGGAAATGAGTCAGTTTTGACTCAAGATTCATTCACCCTTTACATTTCCATAAGCGCAATCCTACATAATGAGCTGTAAGCGCTGGCACGCTTCGTGGACACCCTTACAACGGCTCATCTGTACTAGTAAACAAACAAATATGTACCATTAGTCATGTGACCTGGAATCATTAGCCATTAGGCAGATCACTGTTACACAAGCACCTGGAGGCCCACAGTGTGGGTAGTGGAGGTGCAGTTATGAATCAGGACAAAGATCAGTCAGGGAGAGATCTGTGTACTGGAATTTGTGTGTGACCATAATGCCCTTGAGAAAAAGCACTTAACTCTACTGTAGATTTCCCTAAGAGGACTGTCCCAACAAGTGTACTGTACAGTAGTTATGATGAGTAAAGATGCGGTCACACTAGACTGTGTCTCATTCACTTCTATTCATCCTACACTCTAAAAAATGCTGGGTTAAATACAACCCAGTGCTGGGTAAAATAGGGACAAACCCAGCAATTGGGTTGTTTTGACCCAGCAGTTGGGTTACTACCCAGAAGGTTGTGTTAAACATTTAACACAACCGCTGGGTCAAAACAACCCAATTGCTGGGTTTGTCCCTATTTTACCCAGTACTGGGTTGTATTTAACCCAGCATTTTTTAGAGTGTATCTGAATGCAGCAGAGTGGGAATTTAAGCATAAGAAGCTTGGATAATATTAAAGTACATAAAAAAAAAACATTATATAAAACAGATCTTGGCTTCTGATTGGTCAATAACTTTAGCTTGTACCTTGTTCATTCACTAGCCATGAGATCCATCTACTATGAATAATGTGAACATTAATGTTTGGAGATGCTGAAGTATACCACAGCAGCACCCACACATTTTTTTTTTTTTTTTTACAATCATGGAAAGTCTGAATATTGACAACTTTGCGTAACTACGGAAGCCAACATTGCTGTCATCACAAAGATGATGCCTTTGGGGAGTCTTGAGTCTAACATGACACAGGCTTGCTTAATCGGGAGCTTTGTTTCAGTTGGTCATCTGAACTAAATTTCTGTAAACCACAGCAAGACCAAGGCCAACAAACAAATTAGAGAGAAACTACAGCTTGGACTCCTTACAATGCATGTCACCTACACAAAGAACATGAGGAAGAACATTTGCCTATTCTATGAATGCCAGAAGAAACTTTTTCTTCTTTTAGTCATAAAAGACATAAATGGTGTATATCTTCTGTAAGTACCTGTCAGAACAACGCTCCAGCCATCTAAACCAGAGCACTGACATGAAGAGTATTCATAGAACATAACCACTCTAGAAATCCACCTCTTTGTTTCTGTGGAGAAAAACCAGATTAGGTGACAATGAGTTTGTGTGGGCCAAGAAGCTCTTGAAATGACAGTGTTCTGTGGCTTGCTGTTGGAAACAGTGAGAGACTGAGATAGGAGATGAACAAAGAAAGGATAAAGTTATGTCCATAAACACTGTAGCTCTCCCCAAAGAAGAGGAGGCTGTAAAAACACATCTGCCTGGCTGAGCTTCGATCCACCGCGTCATTACAAGGCTGCTATCTTTCCCATTCTTCCAGCACACATCCAGAGGTACAGATGCGGCAACATCAAAATACAAAACTCTCTTATCTTTTTTGAAAGTCAGGGGAGTTCAAACAACATTTGACACTATGGATATTATTGTACAGACACATTTTTCAAATATCTTCTTTAATGGTCCACAGAAACAGGTTTGGAGTGACATTAGGGTGAGTAAACAAAAGGTACTTTTTTAATTAAAGGTTAAGAAAAATCAATAAAATCCATGATTCCATGCAATCCCTAACTTAGACTGTAGTGTAAATTCCAACTCAAATGTTCAAAACTCTCAAACACTAGTGTACAGTATGATTTGTGACCAAACACAGACCCAATTTACAGTAAGGACAATCTGCTAGAAACCTTCTCGAGGAGTTTCAGGAAGTGCATTAAAAGGAAAAGGAAGAGACGCCTGCCGTCTCAGTTGTGATGACGTGATTCTGTGCTGACTGTGCACTGCACCCCCATCGCTTCTTAGCTACGCAACAGTAAAGGATCCTTCCTGTTCTACCCACTTCATACCACACCACAGGATGTGAATCACTCAAGGAACCGTTAATCTTGTTCTGACAGTGATACAAGTCACCTTCCAGTTCATGAAACAGCCCTTCCAGGGTTTGAACTGGTGACTTTGCACACAGTACCTACCACATATAATTTTCACACGCTCTCTTGCTGCAAGAAACCACACGTTATATCGGAGTGTAACCTTGTGACCTTTGGATAGGTGTTATGGCAGCCCTGTGTGGCTGATATAAACTATGTTTTGCAAACTGAGCTCTAAATCAAATGGAAGGACCACAGACAAATTCCCAAACTGCCTCAAAACATGTGGCGTCATTCAGACTCTCACTGTCAAGCTCTGCGGTGAGAGAAACTCGCCATAAACATATGACAACACTGGAAGAACAAATTCACCAAGCCATTATCATTTTCAAATTGAAATTCTGCATCGTATGTGACTCATTCAGCTGAGCCGCATTTCTTATTAAGATTCATAACTTTCCTGGCTAACTTTAAGCAAAAAAGAGAAAGAAAGAAACTGTAGGATAAGGATCCCAGTGACAAATTAGAGCGGAGCAACTGAAATAATTGTTTTGTCATGATGAGAGAAACTCTTGCTCATTCTCCTGATGCACTCTCTCCTCCAAACTGCCAAATAGTGAAAGCACCACCGCAAGCTCCTGCTAACCCTTCCTCGCAGCATATACAAGCACATAGAACCACATCCTGACAAGGGGAATGCAAAAACAAGGGCCCTGCTTCCCTGAACTGGAAAAGCGGTTACACAATGTGAACTTTTCACTGTCGAACTGGATAACTTCACTCAAATTATTACAATTCTTGCTTTCATTGAAAGCCAAAGCAACGCAGGAAAAAAGGGCTGAAAGAAAACGTCTCAAAGAAAAACAATGGCAAATGATTCAACTCGAAAAAGTACCGACATTAATGGCAGGACAGATGGGAGACTGTCTTCATCCTTGATGTCCACCCAAGGTGGGCGGCTCTGTGCGCATTTCCCAGCATTCTATTGGAAGATAGAGTAGGATCAACCGAGAGAGACTCACAGGGAAAAAGTGGACATGAAAAGATTTGAAGAAGATCTGACTGGGGCGGAGACACAACAGATAAGTACTCTGGACACACAGCAGGAAGTCTGATCAAGGATGCTTTCACTTGGACATTCATGGCTCCAGAGATCCTACCACTGAGTATCCTGTTGAACCAAATCAGTCTTCAGCCCCACACACAACTGTTGCCATAAAAGTGGGTGAGTAAGAGGGCATGTGTGTGAGCCAAGTAAAACTGTGGTCTTGTTTCCAAAGCAAAATACATAGTGTACCAGTGATGCAACTCATGATTTCAGAATAAGTATCCTGCATTCAATTTCCTACTGTAGCATCAAGATGAATAAATCAAACAAAGCTACTTTTTTAAACATTGAGTCGTCAGGGCACTACCTGAATGAAAAAAAGAAAGTAAGAAATTAAGTCATATAGGTTTAAAGATAATCAGATGCATTTCTTAGGGGGCACATACAAAAGACAAACTCTTGATTTCAAAACTAGCTAGATCAGTGATGGGCAAACTTGGCCCTTCCAGGCCACTTTCCTGCAGAGATTTGATCCAACCCTGATAAAACTCACCTGCCAAAACCGTCTGTCGAGAGCAGGGGTGCCGTGTAACAAATAATTTTTTTATATTTTTAAATTGCTAAAATGTTCAAAAAAGCATCTATTATATAATATCCATTTCTGATGTCGCCAATAATTAGAGATGCACCGAAATTTCGGCTGCCGAAAATTTGTTCACCGCTCAGGTTTCACTTTTACGTGTTGTGACGCTTTGTGTATTATCCCGCTCTGTCGCTCCACTCGTATACCGTTCATGCGAATTGGAACAGCAAAGTCCACTCAATACACTGATCTAGATAATATGCACACTCTTGGACCAGTTTCTGTACAACATGTGTGTAGGCATATAGTCATATTATCATTAATATAACAACTAATTTCAGTGATGTAATTCTTAAAAAAACACTTAAAATGCTATTCCTTTGTGCATAATAATGTGTGTTGTTACTGCCTGCAGTATTTATCTTTACATTTTCATAAACAATGTTGAATTAATTGCTATGGTATTTAGGATCAAATCCAATCGTATGAGCAATTTATAAATAAGGCCACAGAGCTCAACGTCTTAGGCCAAAGGCATTTAGTGGTCCACCTCAGAGAGCAGTATAGAGTAAAAAGAGTCTTACCAATAAGCCCCTTCCAACTACTCTTTTGCTGCCCCATAATAAGCGAGAGGGGAGAACCAAACGCATAGGAATTAACTACATGAGTCCAGAACCCACTTCATGGTGTTCGCATAGAATGGGCTCAAGACTGAGAAACAGCATACATTAAAGACACATGTACTTAATTTTCTTACATTCTTTATACATTATATAAAGAGCTGGAGAATAACTGGAGAACTTATATAATAGCTGCAGAATACAGACTGTCCACAGAATAAAATCAGTTTGCCCCTTTAAAGAGCTTCTATACAGATAGACACTTTTGTTGTTGCTAACTCTTTTTAAAGAAGGTCATCTGACAGTAGTTTAACTAAATCTATTTAAGTAGAGTATAGCTTGGCAAGCTAGTTTCAAAGTAGCTTCTCCAACACTGATTATAAACATTATTTTATAACATAAGCAGCTCTTACCACATCCAGGTTCAGATTTCCACTGGGAAGTGCAGAATTCTCTGGAGGACTGGCACACACTACAACACGCTCAGGAAACACACGCAACTCTGTAAAGGTCAAACAAAAATAAAGATGGAGTTGTAGCTAAAGTGATGTGGAAGCCATTTAGCACAATATTACATACAGTAAATGTTCCCTTTGAAACAAAGGGTGAAATGGGAGGGGAGACGAAAATATGCATGATATTCATATAAAATTCTCACAGACATCTGAAGTATAAAATGGGAGTGAAACCACTAAGACGAGAAGAGCATCAACAGCTTAAAATGACCTCAATGCCCTCTTCATGGGAAATGTTGAAAAAGCTTTGTTGTTTTTAAGAAAATGGCTAAGCTGCCATAAAGTTGAATGTAAACTTCACGTCCCCACTGCCCCTCAGTCAATAAAGTTTCAAATATGTAACTTGATATAAGTAAAACAAACCACATTGTTTGATGTATTCCGGTTTAGTTCCTTCAAACTTGTCCAAATTTAGCTTGAAAAACGAAGGCCAAGCAAATTGTTGGTCAGTTACTTTTCCTTCTTTTTGTTTTTCCTAGATCACTTAAAATAATCTATACCGGACAGCCTTATTAGTCTGTATGTTTCTACTTAGTTTCTATTTTGTTGAGGCATGTTAAACACAAATCATGTAGAATGATGACTGTAATTCCCTTCAGAGTCTGACATGCTATATCTCTAAAGATACAGTGACGCTTTAGTCTGAACTTGTTTACTATGATAAGCAAACCAAATTTTCCCTGTGAGCTGCTGTCAAGCCAGGCTCGGGTGGACTTGGCTGTAGTCTCAAATATTTGTTGAGCTCTGCCTCTATTAGGATTGCATTCGTCTCTAACTGTCTAGCCAGATATAATGGGTGGTTTCTGCAAAGAACTTTCTCTCTATACATTTGACTTGAAACTACAAGTTCTGCATAAAACGCATTTGGAATCATGTTCTGAGTTGCCAACTAAGTGAACATATTTCAGCTGACTTTTTCCAAAATAAAAACGATCCAGACAGTGACCTCCGACTGAGCCTGACAGCTAAACGAACTAATAACAACACAGGTGCTCCTGATACAATCATCTGTTTCATGAGTCAACTTAATGTGGAAAGAAATACTCAAACCAGTCTTCTTTAGTTAATGAGAAGAGGAAATAAACTACCTCTGTAGTGCTGCCTGATAATGCATCTCAGGTTGACGTGTCGTTTCATGAAGTGCACCGCCAGGCAAACATTCCCACCTGCAAAAGAAAACACATTTTATGGAGCAAATCCGCTAACACTTAGAAAACCTTCACTGGTGATATTCAAACAGTGAAAGCTTGTCACGGTAAGCTAATGATAAAACAATCGCTTTTAGGACTGCCTGTTTGTTTAAACAAATCCTCATTTACGCATGAGGAAACACTTTTCCCCGGAAAATCATTTTAATGCAAATCAGCACTGTATTAAATGATAGTCTGCGACACATCTCCTAAACATGGACATTATCAATTATACGTGGCCATGCAAAGGTCAGAACAAAGGCTGTTAATGTCTGTCAAATACGACACCGCACAAAGGCGTTTTAGTGTCTGAAAAAACACCAAAGCGTTTAAGCAAATGAGAAAGAAGCCTCATAGCTCAGGCATGAACGTAATCTGTGCCAGGGGCTTCATGGCCTTTGAAGTCCACTGTAACAAGACTGACTGAACGCTGAAACTATTTACAGCCTCTAATGGTGAAAGTTTTATGAATTCATGCTCTACTCCTTTGAGAAAAAACATATAATGTGCCCCTTTGCCTGCATAACCTGTATTTTATACTGCAAAAATCTCTAAATACTGGATGTGTGGCTGAAAATTTCCCCCGAAGACTGTTATTTATTATTCCTACATGGCTCTCTGAAATACTTAATTGTGATTGGTCAATTTTAAGGTCAAATATTTTAGTGTGCAACTGCTAGACTGTATAGTGGATCACGCTGTGCTAGTTTCGTGCCTCTTGTGCATTCATCAATCTCGTTTTTCTCACAAAATAAAATAATTTGTCAACATTTATTAAGTGGGATAATGTACAGTCAGCAGGTAATTATCACAAAATAAACCCTTTCAATGTGATATAAGACCAGATCATTCTGTTAGCGTTTATTTTGCAACTATAAGATGACAGGAGAATAAATGAAGATTTATTGTAAAATTTTCTGTTTGCACAATTTTGTTCACACAATGGAAGAAGTGAATAAATAGGGTGTATACAAAGGCCAATCAAACCGCTGAAATGCATAAACCAAGATTAGTTTGTGACTCATTCAGGATCGACATCCTTCAACAAGAAGATTCAGAACTGAAAAAAGCATACTGGATATTACCAACAAATATATTCAAGTTAAAGGGATAATTCACCCAAAAATGAAAATGTTGTCATCATTTACTCACCCTCATGTCGTTCCAAACCTGTGTGAGTTTTTTTTTTCTTATGTTGAACATAAAAGAAGATATTTTGAAGAATGCTGGTAATCAAAGTTGATGGTCCCCATTAACTTCCATAGTATTTATTTTCCTACTATGGAAGTCAATGGGGACCAAAAACTGTTTGGTTCTTCAAAATTCTTCAAAATATCCTCTTTTCATTTTTGGGTGAACTATTCTTTTAAAAATGAAAAGATCTTTTTTTTTTAAATATATTTTCACACTAGAGATTCTGTTGTGGACTCAAGTCAGTTTGACAGTCTGAAATCAGTTTTCTGATCTGAAATTATTAAACACTATATTAGGCAATTTACAGTGCATATAGTATAATGAATATAATAAAAATATAATTAATTAATTTAATTAAAAAAAATTGAATCCATTTATTTTATTTAAAAAAATTAATATTTGATTCGCTCAGTCCGAGCCATAGGTAATGAAAAAAATTAGCATTAAATTATACATGTAATTAATTCATTTATTTGTAAATTAAATTATTTCATTTAAATTTTTTTTTTTAATGTTTATTATATTGTATACAGCAATTTTTTAATTGACAATGGTTTGGATCAAGCAAATCAAAATCAAATAAAGTGTGAAAACAGCCCAAGACACTGAAATCGCTTTTAATGTGTCATTTGTCTCATTATATGAAGCATTCAGGGATGTCAAAATTATGCGTTCATTCACTTTTGCAGTTGCCAGAGCAACCATACCAATTCGCTGTTAACATGCCTAAAAAACAAGTTCATTCAACCCTATAGTGTTGGAGCAGTGACATGACCATTCAATTTTAATTTAAGAGACAGCGGGCAAAGGAAGAATTCAGCCTAGATCTGTTTGTCATTGTCCAAGGAATGCAAGATCCACTAGACGCGAAGGCAGAGCACTGTTGCTTAATCTGGGAGGAATTTGTCGGCAAGAAAGGGGGCCTGGTGAACACGCTACATATCTGCCAGTGCAGCTGTAAACAAGAAAACAGGCATGGGAATCCATCAGCTCTCACTCTGTGACCTGAATAGACCCCTCAACCTCTCTGACTGTCTGTGAGAGACTGCCCTAGGCTGCCACAGGACCGTAAAACACACCCGAAATGAATCAGACTACTATCTAATGACCCCAAGTGCTTGGGCATATCGGTTCAGATCATAGAAACCAGAGAAAAACAAACTCAGCTTGGGCACTCTAAAATAGTCTCACCCTCACTTCCAGAATATTTGTCTGTCTTTAGAGTGCATGTTAGATGTGTCAAATGAGCAGAAATGCATTAGAGAAGACAGGTTTACCAGCTGATGTCATCGCAGGCCCTGCAAACAGCTATCTAAGTCCTCAAACTGGAGCTTCTGCAGTTAATGATATGCAATTACAGTGTCTGCCAGCCACAAAACTGTCATCAACACCCCCTGTATGTGATTGATGGATCTACCGCCTACTTTCTTTTACTTCACAGGTAGTGCTTAACAGCAGCTCCACTTTAGCTGTTTTATTTTCAATACCTTTGTCCTTGGCCATCAAAACTAACTGTGCGGTAGATTAGGACAGCATCAAACTTCCTGCACACACTTGCTTTGATACAGCTTCCATTTAAGGCTCAAACGTTGATAGAAACAACAAAAAGATACTCAACTATATATCTCAACAAGACCAGATGAAACTTCTAAATTATCTAAGCTAACGGAGTGTGTTAAAAATGTAAAAGATTGGATGACCAATAATTTTCTCCTATTAAATTCGGATAAGACAGAGATATTACTTATTGGCCAAAAGACAGTACACCGAATCTCGTGGATTACAATTTGCAACAAGACGGATGTACGGTTACTTCCTCTACAGTCAAAAATCTGGGTGTTATATTAGATAGCAACTTGTCTTTTGAAAATCATATTTCCCATGTTACAAAAACAGCATTCTTCCATCTTAGAAACATTGCCAAGTTACGAAACATGATACCTGTTTCTGATGCAGAAAAGCTAGTTCATGCATACATGACCTCTAGACTGGACTACTGTAATGCACTGCTAGGTGGTTGTCCTGCATCCTCAATAAACAAGCTACAGGTAGTCCAAAATGCAGCAGCTAGAGTCCTTACCAGGTCAAGAAAATATGATCATATTACCCAATTTTACAGTCTCTGCACTGGCTACCTATTAAATTCCGTATCAGTTACAAAATATTATTACTTGCCTATAAGGCCCTTAATGGGTTAGCTCCTGCATACCTAACTAGTCTTCTACCACGCTACAATCCATCACGCTCCATAAGGTCGCAACATTCTGGACTTTTGGTAGTACCTAGGATAGCAAAGTCCGCTAAAGGAGGTAGAGCTTTTTCGCATTTGGCTCCCAAACTCTGGAATAGCCTTCCTGATAACGTTCGGGGTTCAGACACACTCTCTCTGTTTAAATCTAGATTAAAGACACATCTCTTTGGCCAAGCATTCAAATAATGCATCTCATAATCTTTTACTGCAGTCATAATCTTTTACTGCAGTTATATCTAATCAAATGCACATTATTATTCATTAGTTTGGGTTAAACAAATCATTTTTGCTTGGTTGGAACAGCAGCTACGCTAATTATGTTTGTATTTGTTTCTCTGTCTTTTGCCACGGGATTAACATCCCGTGGTAACTAGGATTTACACAAGCTTCAGTCTGGATCCAGAACACCTGAGAAGAGATGATGCAACCCCTCAGAGGACCTCAGATGATGCCAACCCTGAAACAACATACAGAACTACCACATTTTGCTACAAGTTTGATTGCATCATATAATAATTGCTGTTAATATTATTCATCGTCTGTTTTATTACGTCTTATATTGATTTTTCCGTTCTGCTGGTTCGTCTGGTCAGAGGAGAACTGGCCCCCCGACTGAGCCTGGTTTCTCCCAAGGTTTTTTCTCCATTCTGTCACCGATGGAGTTTTGGTTCCTTGCCGCTGTCGCCTCTGGCTTGCTTAGTTGGGGACACTTCATTTCCAGCGATATCGTTGACATGATTGCAAAGATACTATTTAAACTGAACTGAGCTGGATGTTGACATCACTAAATTCAATGATGAACTGTCTTTAACTGAAAAATGAGTGTTTACTATTGTCACTTTGCATTATTGACACTATTTTCCTAATTAATACTGTTCAGTTGCTTTGTCACAATCTGTATTGTTAAAAGCGCTATATAAATAAAGGTGACTTGACTATA